AAAGTTAATGTTTGGGTACATCTTCATGTTAGCAAGTAGGTCTATCTTATAGAGGACTCATAAGCAATAATTAACGATGAACTCGATAATGATGGAAAAGTATGTAGTAGTCTATAATGCAACTTGCCATGGGATTTTGTTAGGAAATCTTATTAGTGGACTCAAAGTTGTGAACTCCATATCAAGACCATTGAAGACTTATTGTGATATTTCTGTTGCCGTTAGTTTTTCAAACAGTTTTAATTCAAGTGGAATCATGATATGCTTTAAGATCTGATAACAAAAGCTCCACAACCCAAAATCTTTCAAGAGCTCATAACGAAGATGGGATTATGTAGAGACCTTATTTGATAGCATAGTGATCTTATGAATAATCAATGTAATTATAAAGTTTCCTCGAAAATCTTAGTTATTTTGTCTATACTAACGTATGCATGCATGTACTAATCTATAGACAAATCTATACAGTTTAATGATGTATATTTCCCGTTATCTTGGCTTAAGTTTTCTAAGTGTTTTGTGTTAAGTCTTTGGTATAATTGATGAGGGTCTTGTGTTGATCTCGACACAAATGACTGTATCCTTTGGCTATGGCTTTAATATGGAACTTGATAGCTATTACCTTGGCCAAACTTATGAATACTCATCATAAATGGTCACTCGGCCAAGCGGGAGAATGTTGAAATATTTCCACTAATATATGGCCTTAGGACCATTTTTGAAATAATCATTTAATAGTTGCTACATTTACATTTTTTGATAGCAACTATGCCATTATTGCATAAATGGTACCCCATCTTTTATAAAAGTTACTTGATGGAAGTAATTGAATAACTGTATTATATAATGGGTAGAAACTGATTTTCCATTAGATGTCGTCAATAACTGATAGGAATCGATAACACAATAATGAAGAACAGAAATTGAATGCTTGATTACTATGAACTTCAAGTGGAAATAACAAAATAACAATTCAGAGAAGTTAATCAAATGATTAGAGAAGTTAATCAAATGATTGTCCTTCCTGACCTAAATCAGATAGGATCTCAAAGAGATGAACTCCTGCCCAAGCTAATGCCGAAGACTCAAAATACAAATGCAAAATACTGAATGAATCCCACTAGTGCTATGACTCATGCTATTTAACCTAACAAAGGATGATTCTAAAGTGACTTGTAAAACATAAAGTAATAAACATTACAATTAGGTCCCTCCATGTTTGCCCTATGTTAATATTTGGCGCGTTCTCTATCAATAACCAATAACATGCAATTTGATTTTGCTAATATTGATGAAGCAGGTTTGTTATCTCTACAAACTTTTTCTGTTAGCTTGTAGAAATGAATATTAATATTTGGTTGATGCTCGTTGTAAACCATAGATGCATTCATAGAGTTTTTTTTTTTACTACATTTAACTTGTTTGTTGCCGATAATATTGATGATAAAAAGGATAATGTTGTAATCTGTATATTTTGTTTATCAGCAGAACATGAGTAACTTGTTAGTAGATGCAGATGGGATTGATTCCTCATGGGTGTATAGTATATATATTTTATTATTTATTTCTCATAATTTAAATTAGTACATTTAAATAGTAAAGTTATAAAATTAAACTTAAAATACAAAGGAAGCAACTAGACAATATTATATAAATAAAATGGGTGTACATAAAAAAATAATTTCTAAATTATGAGTAAGAAAAATGTCAACTGTCCACGCTGTAGTTGGAGTTTATTTAACATCTCTTTCAAAGAGTTTGAACATCTTAGAATCCATTTGCATCTAACAAATAATGCATGGAGGCTTTTCTGGAGGAGATTCAACATCTTAAACACTTCAAATTGGAAGAGATAAAGTCAATCACTGGCGACTTTGATAAGAACAACCTTATTGGAGAAGGTGGGTTCGGGAAGGTCTACAAAGGAGTAGTCTCTGACTCTAATAAGGGGCAAATCCTGGCTGCTTTTAAGCGTCTTGGTAGCAACTGTGGGCAAGGTGACCCTGAGTTCTTAAAAGAGATCATGATGCTTTCCCGTTACACACATGAAAATCTCATCTCTCTCCTGGGATTTTGTGACCAAGATGGTGAGAAGATCCTTGTGTACGAACATGCATCTCATGGAAGCCTTGATGGCCATTTGAGTAGCGCTACTCTCACGTGGACACAACGTCTCAAGATATGCCTTGGGGCTGCAAGGGGACTGTGCTACCTTCATGATCCCATGGAGACACAACAAAGAGTCATCCACAGGGATATAAAAAGTTCCAACATTCTACTAGATGTGAACTGGAATGCTAAAGTTTCAGACATGGGACTGTCAAAAGTAGGACTTGCCAATCCGCAGCAATCCTTTCTTGTCACCAATGTTGCTGGTACCTTTTGTTATATAGATCCGATGTATCTTGAAACAAACATCCTAACGAAAGAGTCGGGCGTATACTCTTTTGGGGTGGTCTTGTTTGAAGTGCTTTGTGGGAGCCTATGCTTTGAAAATAAAAATAATCATTTTCAGAGTTTAGTGAGAAGGTGGAAACAAAGCTACAATGAGAAGAAACTAGATGAGATCATCTTTCACCATTTGAAGCAAGACATGGATCCCAGCTCATTGAATGTATTTTTAGAAACCGCCTATCGATGTCTGCAGGAATATCGTGCAGACCGGCCAAATATGTCTCATGTCACTACTAGAAAAATAGGGGGTTTTCCTACGGAAAATTTTCGTAGCTAATTAACTACGGAATAGCTACGGATCAGCTACAGAATGGGACGCCCTAATTTAGTAACGGAATTGCTACGGAATAGCTACGGATTGGCATCCGTAGCTATTCTGTAGCTAATTAGCTACGGAATGGCTACGGAATAGCTACGGATTCAAATCCGTAGCTATTCTGTAGCTAATTAGCTACGGGATAGCTACGGGCTAGCGACGGAAGAAAATAGCTACACAATAGCTACGAAATATCGACGGATTTTTAATTTCCATTATTATTAATATTATTACTCCCATTATTATTATTTTTCATTATTCGACTCTTAATTTTTATTTTTTTTTTGGATCATTTATCTTACATATTTAAGACACGAACAATTAAAAATCATACTAATAATACTATTAATAATAATATTTATAAACATCATAATAATATATAATAATTGTAACAAATGTGTTTAACACACAAATAAACGATTAAACGGAAAAAAAACTACGTTTAACACATCACTAAGGTGAAATAATCTATGTTTAATTTATAAATAATGAAAAATGATTATAATAAAGGGAAATATGTATATTTGTATGTATGTATGTATGTATGTATGTATCTATGTATGTATGTATGTATGTATGTACGTGAATGTGGGTGCGTATGTAAATGTATGTGTGTATGTGTATGTGTATGTGTGTATGTATATGTATATGTATGTATGTATTTGAATGTGTATGTGTATGTTTATGTGTATGTGTATGTCTATGCATGTGTGTATTTGAATGTGTATGTAAGTACATATGTGTATGTGTGTGTATTTGAATGTGTATGTATATGTGTATGTTTATGTTTATCTATGTGTGTATGTGTCTACATGTATGCATATCAAAAATCACAAATATTAATAAGTATTACAATATTAAAACCATTAAATGAGTAAGAGATCTAGAAGGTGCACACGACTTTATGAATGATATTAATAGCTATAAGTTGGTGAAAATATAGATAATCATGTCTAATAGAGGTGTGAAAAAAACGAAGCGAACAAAACAACGTTTGCTGCCTGAAAAATCGAAAATAAGAAAATTTCATAGCTAATCCGTAGCTAATTAGCTACAGATTAGATACGGATTTTTCTTATTTTCGATTTTTCGGGCACAAAACGTTGATTTTTTCGCTTCGTTTTTTTCACACTTCTATTATACATGATGATCTATATTTTCACCAACTTATAGTTATTAATATCATTCATAAAGTCGTGTGCACCTTTGGAATCAAGTACTCGTTTCACGGTTTAACATTGTAATGTCTATACTTTTCACCAACTTGTGATGGGTTTATGTTTGTATAGGTATATTTATATACATGAATGAGTTGTGGTATACGTGTACGTGTATATGTGTATGGTGGAGTTTAAAGAGGAACAAGAGACGCATCTCTCCAAAAGATTCCTCAATAAAGAGGAACTAGAGATGCTTCTCTCCAAAGGAATCCTCATTAATGGGGGCAACACGGTAATTATCTATGTCTATAAACCATTGATTAGATTTATTTATTTATTTATTTACTTCATGAATGGTGAGTTGTGAGATTTATAAAATGTTAATTATATTATAGCTTTCATTGGAGAAGTTTCACAAGATTAAAATAAAAAATTATTATATAGCATACATTTCATCTAGAAGGCATTGGGCCACCAATACCAAACACCGCAACCACGATCACAGCACACCTCATAGATCTCTATTTACAAACCAAGACACATATATGTGATTTCCTTTTACGTTTTAAATGCTTACAAACCATAACTTGAAAATAAACAATAAACAAAATCTTGGCTATCAAAATCTCTACGCTCATATAACTTGGCCTCTTTATTTGACAGTGGTTCTCGTTAAATAAGAGTGGTGAACATTGTGAAATAATATCAGCTGAGTGTTTCAGTCCTCTGGCAAGATAATATCCTAAAGATTATGTACCATATAGTGGTGAAAATAAATCAAGGTTAGCTTTTCTTTGTTTAGTTTCTAGATTTTTTATACTATTTCATGAATATATAGTGATGTATTCTTTGTTGTATTTCCATGCAGATTTGAAGTGCGTAACCGAAGAGGATTATATCAGGATTTCAAAGCACATGTCAGACCACAATTTTTGTTACCAAATATCACATACACCGTCAACGTTGTGTTTAAGTTTGTACACAAGGGCTATCTTGGCCTCAATTACATGTTGGCTAGTGAGGAAAATTATTTGAAGACGCTCGTAACATGTGAGAGAGATGGGTGGTTCATGGCTGAACTGTATCAGTTTATCAGCAACTCAACAACTATTGATCTTGATATTATGTTCCGTTGCCCACATTATGTGGAAGTAGAAGGCATTGAGTTTCAGCCCCTGGACAGAGTAAGCTGACAAATACCAGTTTAATCTTTTAGATCATTTTGTTTTTGTTGTTTTTAGTATTCTTGGAAAACATAATCCTTTGCAACAACATTTCAATGACCTACATCTGGAGATGAATAGGAGTTTTCTTCCACAGTTTATCAAATTAAGTCTAACGTGTAAGCTTTACAGGTGCAGCATGAATTACTCTTAGAGAATGAGGAGGTAGATTTGCAAACAGACACATATTGGGAACAAAAGTTGCCAAGTGATTACGAAGACATAATTAAGAAGTCAAAAAATTGTGTAGAATGGACAACAAAGAAGGAACTCTACTCTATTCTTCGCAAAGGGTTCTTAATCAATGATGGTGAAGAGGTATATTTTTTATATGAACGATCACTCCTATAACTTTACAGATATTCAAAAAACATAGTTGGTTTACTTATTTCTCAATATGTAGCTGTTATGGAGCCTATGAGTATCTGTTCAAAGGGAAGAACTCCATAATTCCAAAACAAGTACTTACGTGTTTATGGGAAGAAATGTCATATGATATCAGCAATACTGGCTTTGGAACCTACAAGTTTTCGATGGCAATGGCGGTCTTTAGCTGAATCAAGGTTCTTTCTCTATCTCCCACCCCGTTTTCTTGTTGTCATGTCTATGTTTTGCATACGAGTAGCGGACACCTGTAGCTGAGAATGTTAACAAGGGTCTTGAACCCACTAATTTACTCAGCATAGGTGCATAGGATTTGACAACTCTGGAAGTTCATCCCATAATTTGGTTTACAAGCTGTGGTTGTAGTTTTCTAGTACCCTTTCGTGTTTCTCTATTTTAAGAAATTTTCCACACTCATGATAAAACATTAAGGTGTATGTTGTCCTATTCGTGTACCGTTTCTATCAAACACAATATGGCTTTTTGCAGATTCAGAAAAGCGGCTTTTGATCCTGTTGGCAAACTTGGGATAGACTGCAGATCCAATATGTTGTCACCTCAAACAACATATGCAACTTACCTTGTTTACAAATTACAAGAAAACCATGCTTTGTTTGAGCTTCCTATTGTTTGTCAGCATTTCTATTATCGGTTTCCGTGGAATATCTATTTACTTAGTCCCCAAGCTCCTGTTATTGCGGAAAAGGTTTATCAAATGAAACGCATTCCACAACAAAGGAACGATGGTTGGATGGAAGTACAAGTATATGAATTTCAAACAGAGACCGGGCATTCAATAGCTTTTAGATTGAGGTTTTCCAGTGACTACAAGCCGCTTATAGGACTTATTGTGCAAGGTATTGAGTTTAGACCATTACATGGAAATGAATTGATTGTAACAGGTTCTCTCATGTATTAACGAATACATGTATTGGATTTACTTTTTGGTGAATTGATATCTATGGCGCCGATTGCTCCACTCTTTCCACAATTCTTCTCATATTTTGACGAGTGTCATATCTACACCATCACATAAGACAATTTATATTGGCTGGCTTGAATCAATATTTATAGGTTCTCACAAGGCACACCTTCTATATATCTCATATTTACACCACCAAAAGCTATGTGGACTTTCCTGTTTTGTAACTTCATCACTACTCATGGATCTCTCTATGTTGTCTCATCAAACCACTGGTCTTGCCCTGATTTTAGGTTCATAGATGGTAGTCTCTCTTAGGATAACTCTTAACTAGCCCACAACCGTTGCTATCGTGATCATGGCCGGGGGCAGTGGTGGATCTAGAAATTTTCTTTGTTGGGGGCACTATCGACTTGATCATTTCCAGTTAAAATGGTAAAAATGATCGGGTAGTGATTGATAAGCAGGTGGATTTAGACACTTTAAACTTTTAGTCATTATGTTCTTTTGATTGATCTTGTAACTTAAACATATTTTAAGCTTTTAGTTATCTAATATGTATAATACTTCAATTTTTTATCAAATTAGTTTTGTTGATTGACCGGTAGAATAAGACATTTAAATTGGCATATAATACGTCATAACAAGGTATTGTTGATTAACCACTAGCATTAGATATTAAGACTAAATTAGACATATGTTAATTAACCATTAGTCATCAAATTAGTTTTGTTTATTGACATGTGGAGTTAGTTGTTCAATTTATTTAACTTAGAATTTATAAAAATTAAAAACTAGGTCAAGTAATGTAATATACTAATATAGACATCACAATTTATATAAATTAAAAACTAGGGACTAGGTCAATCCTAAACTCAACCTGTCTCTCCGGAGGTATCCCAGGCAAGTCCTCCGGGAATACATCTGAGTACTCTCGCACGACCGGTACATCATCCACTGTCGCCTTACCCTTATCCCGGGTATCCATAACATAAGCGACGTAACATGCGCAACCCTGGTGAAGGTAACGTCTCACCCACGCTGCTAAACATAAAACCGGTCCGCGCTGTGGCCTCTCACCCTGGATCACTAACCCTCCCCCACTAGGAGTCCGAACCCTCACTAGCTGTTGCTCGCAGTCGATCACTGCCCCATTGGGGCTCAACCAATCCATACCCACTATAACGTTATTCCCTCACAGGGGAATAGGAACCAGATCCACTGAAAACTACTCATCGAATAATTGTAGTGTACAACCTCTGTGAACCCTCACAACCCTAACGGTCCTATCATCTACTATCTCCACATCCAGTAAGCAATCCAGCTCCCCCAGATCCCCTACGAATCGCTTGTTGAGCGCGAGCGACACAAAAGATCGGGTTGCACCCGAATTAAACAGTACCAAGGCTGATATACCATTCACTAAGAACGATCCTATAACAAACACATAAACATAAGCAATAATCATAACAAATCAAGAGATAAGGAGAGAATACATACCCGTCACAACATTGGGAGCCGCACGTGCCCCCTCTGCAGTAAGATGGAAAGCCCTGCTCCAAGCCGTAGGCGCCTCTGCCCGGCCCTGACGGCCATCTGTAATCCTGAATGTGTCAGGAGCGGGTGTCGCCACTTGTCCTGCGGCTGCTAGACTCGGACACTGGGCCTTCTTGTGGCCCCTCTGATTGCACTGAAAGCAAATCAGATCTGAAATTGTTGTGGTGGTGGTGGTAGCTGTACAATCTCTACTCACGTGACCAGTTCGGCCGCACTTGAAGCAGCCCGAACTCCCCGCCCTGCACGCCCTCTCATGCATCTTTCCGCACTTGCCACACCGGCTGCAGCCCTGCTGGCTCCTCGATCTTTGGTCTGATAACTTGGGCTTCTTGCCCGAACTGCCTCTCTGAACCCCATCTGGTTTCCTCTTCCTCTCCATCTCCAAATCCAACTCCATCTCTCGAGCCCTAGCAATCATGTCCTTCAGCGTCTTGCAACTGGAGCCACTCACAAACTGGCGGATATCACTCCGCAATATCTCATGATATTGGGCCTTCTTCGTCTCCTTATCTGTCGCGTACTGCGGAACGAGAAGGGTCCTCTCCCTAAACTTGGCAGTGATCTCCACCACCGGCTATGTCGTCTGCTCAAGATCCTGGAACTCCCTCGCTAGCTGTTGCACCTCAATCACAGGTGCAAACTCGGCCCTGAACCTAGCCGAGAAATCACTCCAGGTCATAGCATCTAGAACTGTATCATCCCCGATGGCTCGTCCAACCTCTTCCTCCCAATCCCTTGCCCTGTCTTTCAGAAGACAGGATGCAAGTCGGACCTTGTCCCCCTCAGGACATTTGCTCGTACGGAACGCGTTGGCGACATCAGCCAACCATCTGCTGCTAGCAATGGGGTCCTGAGCCCCATGATAGTCGAGAGCTCCATAAGACCTGAACTCCCAGAAAGTCAGTGTGCGCGACCCCATCATGGCCGCCACCTCAAGGCGGAAAGTGCTCAGCTTCTCATCCAGAAGCTCCCAAATACCCTCCTTGACCGAACCAAAGATCACAGGAGTCTGATCTAAAATGTTGCGTGTGATCTCAGACGAGATGAACTCCCTCGTCTGCTCATCCAGCTGCCCGGCTCCAGAGCCCGAGCCTGCTCCTTTACCAGTGCCTGAAGTACCAACTGTTGGGTTTTGAGCATTCTAACACTCCTATGATGTACATGCAACCCTATAAACCTTGAATCTATGTTTTTTCTATTATACATGAAAATATATGATATTCCAAGGTTTCATCCTAACTAGCATAATAAGAAGTAACTATACTACAAGAATCTAGTAGAAAGACATACCTTTTGATGTTGTGGCTTGAAGTCTTGGAGCATAAGAGCCTAGTGCCTCAAGTGTGACACCTCAAATGGTTCACACAACACCAAGAACCCTTGGAATAACTAGAGAATAAGGATACTTGCACCAAATTGGTTTTTCCCTCTTGTGTACACACACTCTAGTGTACGCACTAGTGCACATTTCATGAACTAGGGACCTCTTTATATAGTGTGGAGGATTAGGGTTACATTCATGTAAACCCTACACATAACACATAAACATATCTTGGGCCCCGCCCCTGCAACATCGAGTTAAGCTCGACATCGGGCCCCGCCAGGCATCGAACCCTATTCGGCATCAGGCCTCGCCCGACATCGAGCAAATCTCGGAATACATAAGAGCATAATCAGTAATACACATAAAACTAAGCACATAACATTAACATTTAAACATTCCTCGGGCCCCACCCGGCATCGGACCGTAATCTGGTAACATACTAACATTCCTCGGGACCGCCCCGGCATGGAAATGATGTCCGGAAACATACAATACAAACACATGCAAGAATCACAAAGACATAAAGTATACAAGCATTCCTCGGGACTGCCCCGACATCGGATCGAAATCCGGAAAAGCATATAATCCTGCATCGGGCCCCGCCCAGCATCGGACCATAGTCCGGAACTACTACTAGTTAAACGGGTCGGCCTTGGTGCCTTAGACCCGTTCCTACTGGAAGAAAGTCACCTCGAATGCTAGCTGTGAAATCTCGTGTGAGGAATATCTGATGGCTGCTCCAACGACTCCCCGGCTATCAATTTCACAATAACACTTAATCAAAATCTGATAATCCTTCTTAGGGTAAAATGACCATTTTACCCCTGGTCAAAGTCAACATCCTGGTCAAAGTCAAAGTCCAGGTCAACTCCCAGTCAACTCAACTCGTCGAGTTACGTCCTAACTCGGCAAGTTCTTGTACCGTCGAGTCCCTTCACGGACTCGTCGAATTCTGTCTAGCTTAGAATCAGGACAACCCGACTCAACTCGTCGAGTTCTTCAGCCCCTCAAGTCCAAAACTATGTCTAGCTCGCTGAGTCATCTCCTAGACTCAACGATCTCACTCATTAACAGAAGAGTTGGGGAACCGCGACCCGACTCGCCGAGTCGCACGAACAACTCGTCGAGTCCCCCAAGATCCTAATCTATTCAGTCGGTTTTAGTTGGGTTCATTGCCTCCAAAACATAGATCTGGACCCCTAAGGTCCTTATGTCACGTAAAGTTTCCGACTTTACGTGCATACATGGGGTTTTTAGCTCACAAGGTCCAAAAAGGTGGCTCATAAGGTGCATGGGACTCCCATGGCCATAAAGTTGGCACATTTATGCCATATAGTCCCTCAAGGACCTAGATCTGTAGTTGACACACCAAATCATGCTTGCACTCATGAATGGCTCCAATCCTGTACTCCAAAATGCCCTAACTTCCCCATAAGAAGATCTAGAAAACAAATAGCCAAGGTATAAACTTGATTACCATAAAGTGAAGGAAAAGTGATGTTGCTTCTGGATCTACAACCTTCTCTTGGAGTCCTCTAGCTTCTTCTTCTTCTCACAAGCTTCAAATCACACCAAATCGCTCAAAATGTTTCACACACTCACACAAAGCTCAAGCTCACTGATTAGGGTTTTCTGGACCATGAGAGACGATGAGGGAGGCCACAAAGGGGTGATATGTTCTTTAAATAGGGGGCCAAACCCTTAAAATTAGGGTTTCATTCTGGCAGTCCTACTCGTCGAGTCGGGGCTTCCCAACTCGTCGAGTAGACTTCAAACCCCGCGTCCCTCTCTATCTCTACTCGACGAGTTTGGGGCTACCAATTCGCCGAGTAGCCTTGTGAAAATGATCAAATGAATATTAAATATGTATCAGGGATCTAGGCGTTACAATTCTCCGCCACTTGTCTTAGACTTCTTCCTCGAAGTCTTCTATCTCGAATAACTCTGGGTAGTGCTCCCTCATTTCCTCCTTGGGCTCCCATGTCCACTCTGAACCCTTGCGGTGCTGTCACTGCACCTTTACTAACCGAACAACCTTGTTCCTCAAGGTTTTCGTCTCGCGATCCAGAATCGCCACCGGTCTCTCTATGTAATTCAGGTTGTCATCAACCTGAAT